ATATATATATATATATATATATATATATATATATATATATATATATATATTTAGTTAATTTACTTAATAGACCAAAACAAAGTAACAATCTTGAAACTTTAGGAAAAGCATCTATGATTTCCAGGGCAATTCACAAATACATTTATTGTAAGTTTGGTGTGCATTTCCAACCAGCTCGCTTTGATAACTATTTAGTAAATGTGCTACGTATGTGTAATTGACTGAATACTAATACAGCTATTCTGTGAAGGTTATAAAACTATATTCAAACTTTTTAACATTTGACAGAGCGCAGATCAATGTATTGTTGAAAATCAAAAGTGGAAAGCCAGTGTAAACCTACAATATCCAAGCAATTAACATAAATTTACCCTTGTAGCTAAACATACAGCCAGAGAGACACAATATAATGTTGGTATGTAAAGCATAATGTATTCAACCCAAATCCAATTGAGAATCTGCGATAAGGGCTGAAAATGGATCCTATATTGCAAAATAAAATGGACAAAACCTTCAGTCTCTTAATGTAGAACGCTGTTAAAGACAGACCTCAAATGTCTATAACTGTCGCAAAAATGTGTTTTGACTCAGGAAGATTGAATTTTGTAGAAAAATATATTGAAACATGCAGTACATTTTCCCCCTTCACAAGTTCTTTGAGTCAGTCTATTGCATTTAAGCCCAATAAAACACAATGAATGACATACAAACATTTGGGAACATTTCAGGTGATCAAAGCTTTCTAGCTGGCGTTTTTAATGTTTTGTGTAGAGTTATCCTTGTTCTAAACTTCAACACTATTTGCAGCTGACCATGTAAACGGAAAAGGAATACAGTACTATGATGAACTAATCAACCACCTATTGGAGAACCATATCACTCCCATTGTTACGCTGTATCACTGGGATCTGCCTCAGGTTGGTGGGTTTAATGCTGACCACCTCGACTTTTAACTTTGATGTGCCTCCAAGCTATGAATTGTATTGTTTCCTCTTTCAGGTTTTACAAGAGAAATATGGTGGGTGGCAAAACATAAGTATGGTCAATCATTTCAATGACTTCGCCAACCTTTGCTTTGAAAAATATGGCGATAGAGTGAAGCACTGGATCACTTTCAACAATCCCTGGGTGTGTTTGGAATATTTTTTATTTTTTTTTAAGTTTGCAACAGGATTGCTTTACTCACTCCTGCTGAATAAGGCAATTAAGTATATGTCTCTCTACTTAACATCCATTTACAGTCTGTGGCTGTTGAAGGTTATGAGACAGGTGAGCACGCTCCTGGGCTGAAGCTGAGAGGAACTGGGGCTTATAGAGCTGCACATCACATCATAAAGGTATTTAGATGCTGCTCCCATCGCTCAAAGCAAGCTAACAAATGAAACTTACATTTGATCTTTTTAATATCCAGGCACATGCCAAAGTTTGGCACACTTATGATACACAATGGAGGGGAAAACAAAAAGGTAAACGAGGTTGAAAAGTAACATTCAACCTGCAGTGGGTTTTTAAATCCTGAGAACTGTTCTGCATCTCTGCAGGTCTGGTGGGCATCTCTTTGTCGGGGGACTGGGGCGAGCCGGTGGATATCAGCAACCAGAAAGACATTGAAGCAGCAGAGAGATATGTACAGTTCTATCTGGGCTGGTTTGCCACACCCATCTTTCATGGAGACTACCCTCAAGTAATGAAAGACTTTGTCGGTGAGTTGCACAGTAAAAAGTTAATCTCGCCGAAATGACTGAGGAGATGCCTAATCGACACTGCTGTGCAGGAAGGAAGAGTGTGCAGCAGGGACTTGGGACATCTCGACTGCCTGCGTTTTCTTCACAAGAGAAGAGTTACATAAAGGGGACGTGTGACTTCCTTGGCATCGGCCATTTCACCACCCGGTACATCACCCACAGGAATGATCCAACAGGCCGTAGCAGCAACAGCTACTTCACAGACCGTGACCTGGCTGAGCTGGTGGACCCGCGGTGGCCTGATCCTGGGTCAGAATGGCTCTACTCTGTGCCATGGGGTTTCAGGCGTTTGCTGAATTTTGTCAAGGTACAGAGTTAAGGTGTTTTTTATTTGCACTGAGTTTTAACTGAGTGGCTTAGTTCAAAGCCAAGCTGCACCATTTTTTTCCTTCCACAGACTCAGTATGGGAACCCGATGATTTACGTGACTGAGAATGGAGTTTCTGAGAAGATGATGTGCACAGAGCTGTGTGATGAATGGAGGATACAATATTATAAAGACTACATCAATGAGATGCTAAAAGGTGAGTGATTCTAAAAATTATGTATAGAAAATGAGACAGATTAACTTGTTATCATGTTTCTCTGTTACTCAGCTATAAGAGATGGAGTCAATGTAAAGGGCTACACTGCATGGTCTTTGCTGGACAAGTTTGAGTGGGACGAAGGTTACTCCGAGAGATTCGGCTTGTACTATGTGGACTTCAGGAACAAAAACAAACCTCGATATCCGAAAGCTTCTGTGCAGTTTTACAAACGGATCATCAGCTCCAATGGATTTCCAAATCAAAGAGAGGTGAGAGATTTATCATTTTAAATTCTTAGATATAGAGATTTAGTTCTTTATATTGAACTGGGGGTTATACAGTTCGATATACACACCAAAGGTTGAATCACATTCCAGCCCTTTCTTAGCTTTTGATGTTTTTTTTTTTTTTTTAAAAGGCCTGGTGCTAGTCAAAGTCAACAGCATGTTTAGGTACAGCTGTAAGTGGTTCATTAGACAATGGAGAGAAACATATACAAATGTCAATATATAATCCATTAACATTTTCATAAGTACAATAACAGCTGTAATATCCATTTTAAAAATTATATTTTACATGAATGTCATCCATTTTGATCACTGAATAAAACGTTTAAGTAGAATCTAAAACATATTGAAACATGCAGTACATTTTCCTCTTATATGGACAGACAGATAAGAGAATAACTGCAGTCAGGATCATCATCAGTAAGTCCATAATTTAAAAAAAAAGTATAAAGTTATAGTGTTATGACTACATTTGACATGATCAAGTCTTTCAAAAATCTATTTTAAGATGCTTTACTTTTGGATTTGTTGCATTTAGTTCTATGTTTTTGCTCTCAGATAATAAACATGAAAAAGTATAAACAGTATCTGTTTATACTGGAACAGTTTATACAGTTTATACTGGTTTCAGTATAAACTGTTACTGGAACCAGTAACAGTTTATAGAAAACAGCTTCTTGTGAAACAGAACCACTTCTTAGTGGAATGTGATCCACTCATCCGTCAAGTACCAATGCAGTGCATGATGGCCAATTCATGATGAAGTTTAGAACTTCAAGGGGAGAAGTAACATTCAGAAATGGGGTTCAGCCCAAGTCTGTCATTGTTTTTTTTGTTTTTTTATATTCACAGGTTGAAAACTGGAGGAGGAAGGCTGTTGAGATGTGTTCTTCCAGCAACCAGCTACTAGCAGCAGGTTAGTTAATTTTTTTTTTTTCTGTGACAATTTTGCCTGTGACAAAAGATTAACAACTAGCTGGGGTAAACAAATAAAGATTTGGAAATGCAATTGGTTATTTGTTAACGATGATGGGCAGACGTTATTACAATTTGACATGAATTTGACTTCAGAGGACATAAACGATTGCGTAAAAATATATTAAAAATGCAAAAACCCAGTTCTCAGAATTTCTTGCAGAATATTTGAGATATCTTCTTTGTTTGCCCTTCCAGCTAGAAGAAAATCCAAGGAACATGCTGAGATGCCAAAGGTTTGGCCAGTGCATGATGAAGTTTAGAACTTCAGGGTACATACTTTTAAATTTCACTCATATCTCTGTCGTTGGTTTTTGACTGAGTGGTTTAAAAACTAACACATTGAGGCCTCTGCTGCTTAACAAGTAGCTTTAAAACAAGCTTCTGCCTTGTACATATTATGCAAACTTGTTCTGTTTTGTTTGTGCATAAAGAGTATTTCAGCAAGCAGGACAACTTACTGGACCAAATAATATATTTCAAATTATAAGACTGAATTTAGACACAACAGACTGATGGTTTTACTTTTACTCAAAACACGTACATCGATGTGAAAAATGCTTGGTTGGCAATTTATTCTGAGTTTGCTTTGAATCAGAATCAGAATTCCGTGCAAAAAAGAAAGCAAAATGAATTTTTTGTTGTTTTAACTAAATTTGTCATAAACAAATACATTTTAATATCAGAAAAAAAGGGGCAATAAAAGCTATCCAAATCAACCTAAGCTGTCCTGAAGATTGCTCCCCCCTTGCGAACAAAAACTGTTGTTGCAGAATTTTAAAATCTCATCGACATAGTGACTTTTTGTTGTGTCAATTAGTCAATTAGGGTTCAAGTACTTGCTCACAGCCTTAAACATACTTTCAGTGGATTAAAGTTGCAGCTTTCTGAAATACTCCAACCAGCAGCTGCATGCAGTCCTCAAAGGGTTAAAGTGTCCTTAATCACCTTTAAGTACTTTCTCTTCTTTCATTAGAGGAACAGCGGAGTACTGCTGCCAATATTCTAAGACTTATACATGGTAAGAAATCCCTCATGCTCACAGTTAATCAGATACAGTGTAATTCTGTGCAGGTGAGAAATATTAACCCTTTGAGTGCTGTGCTTGAGCATTTACACTAGTTTTCTAAGCCATGTCTGCGTATGCGACGGGGTTGTAATGAGCGTAAATGTGTTTTGCAGACCCGCTGACCAGCCACATGGAGATGGTGACTGAAATTGTCGTCCCCACAGTGTGCACGCTCTCCATATTGATCAGCGCCGTGTTGCTCATGTTCCTGCTGCGAAGAAGGAACTAGGAGGCGTTTGAAGACACGAACATGCTCATGCAACTTTACTGCTTTATTTCTTTACTCATTTTTGTGTGAATACGAGTACATTTGTGAGCTGACTTTAAATTGAAATGCTGACTTTATTCATTTGATGTGAATTCAGTGTTTGCTGAGAGAAATTAAACACTGCTTAAGCAGATAATGTAGAACCTAGAAGCAGAGATTCTGATAAATGCATCAACAACATGCTGTATTGTCCTGTTGTATGAAAAGGCTGTTGCAAAATACCTTCATTTGTGCTTTTATCAATATTAAACTTTGTTCAACAGATGGCCTCTTCTAAACCCCTAAACAGTCATATTGAAAAACTGACATCTCTAGTCTAACCCCCCCCCCAAAAAAAAAACAAAAAGACATAAAAACATATTAGTAGCTAATGATGATATCAAATACAAATAGTACATTTACACAAAGCTGTTGAAGCTGCAGCACATCGTAGTAGAAAAGAAGGCAGGCTCATCAATGTCCCCATTTACAGTTTCATTTGGAAAATCTAAAAGACACAATTAAAAAGAAAAATAGTCTTTAGCGGGATGTTACAGTGGATAAGAGTGTAGATACTGTTGCAGTAAGAAGTTTTCATATGTTCATATGGCCAGCCATAGCCCGCTCTAGCTAGGTTGGTGCCCTAGATGAGGTTATGGTTTGCTGTCCTCAAAGTTACATGCATGCTATTCAGGCTTTAATATGTAGAAATATGTCGCGTAGAAAACTTGAATAAAAGTTGATGGTTGCATTATGTGTTCCCCATCTAGTCTATATTTACCATCAAATATATTTTTCACAACTTTTAGCACAATAGTAAATGATTTTTTTGGTTCTATATAATATATTCCTTTTAAGAAGGTCAAACAAAGAGTAATGTCAAATCTTTGAAGAGCTACAATACAGTTTTTTTCCCCCTTTCTCTCTTCAACACTGTTCAAAAGGTTTAGCCATTTTATTGGGACAATCAAAATTGACTTTTGGAGCTTCCATGTGTGGAAAAACGTGGCAAATATTTCCTCTGTCCAGGACAGATATGGATGAAATTTACATGTAGCTGAGCAGCATAGGCAAAACATACAACTACAGCAGACAGACTACATGTGTTCAACACACCAAATTATTTAGTGAAGGTTATGGATATGTAAAACTGGTTGAACTACATTTATAGTAACACAGCAGCTGCAGTGTTTACTCTGACACTTTTAAGCTTGTCCAGCACTGCAGATATACAGTGAGAGGTACATATAAATCACCTGTTTCAAAGATGACATGATCAACCAGCGGCTTGTCACTGAGCTGTAAGGACGTCCGCACCTCACGAAGACCTTGACCACTGGATATCTCAACTCCCCACATTATGGGAAGCTCCCTGAGGAAAACAAGCACACAATCAGAAGTAGGACAAAACTGAACAAAATGTGATTCTAAAGTTTTAACTCATGGGAATGAATATATAAATATATTAGAAATTAATACTATTTGTAAAGGTTCTGCAATAAAAATCCAACCCTTTGTGACTGTGACATAAAGTTATAATAAAAATGCATTAATATTTGAGGTCGTAAGGAAAAACATTAGAGGAGTCAATAGTTTTGCAAAGCACCATGTGACACTTTAAAAATTCGTCAATTTGAGTTCGGGTCAGGTTAGATTGCAAAAATTATATCAAACAAACCCATTAAAAACATGAGGGAATATTGCAAATTATTTTGTCTTAACGTTCAGCAAAAGGCTGTAAATCGTACTTCTGGTAGAAATGGCTTATCAAGGCTGGTTTGATCTGGAGCTTGAATTCATGTTCCTCGTCGTATGTTGATGTTTTGTAGTGATTCAGACATGATCTGCAAGGGGGAAAAAAAAAAAAAAAAAAAAAAAAAAAAAAAAAAAAAAAAGATGAGTTTGCTTTTCTTATTAACAAAACGTGCATTTTCCTGCTCGTAAGTCAAGAGAACAAGTAAAAGTGTTTACTGTGTGAGGACAAATTGCCGGTCGTAAGGCAACCCCAAGAATGTGCCGCAGGTCACTATTATTTCCAGCAGGTGGTGCAGTTTTCTGAGTCTGATCACTTGCTCTTGCAGATCAACCTCAGTGCTCAGGTAGTAGTACTGTCGAGTATAACTTATTACTATTAGGAATCGTTGTTTTTTTTTGTTTTTTTTTTCCTGAAACTGTATGAACACAATGTAGACACAATGTCCAGAAACGGAATGAAAAAATATTTACTGAACTTACCAGGTGGTTTAAAGTTGTCAATTCTTCACCTGATTTAAAAAAATTAAATAAATAAGGATTACAGCTGTTTTTGCAAACCTTGTGAAACATAGTTTATTGGGAGCCTTTATTAAATCACTGATTACTAAACATAAACCTCACATTTAAGATGAAAGAAGCTTACCAATCAAGTAGTTAATGTAATCTTTTCTCATCTTGTCTAGTCCCACCTCCAGTAGCATGGTGACCGGGGTGATGCCTGTAAGAGAGACGTGGTCAATCTGCTGGTGATAGGACTGAAGGATCAGTTTGCTGAGGGAGCTGCTGCTGTCTCTGTGAATCTGGAGGCACAGGAAAAGAAAAGCAATCTTACAACAAAACAAAAACTTGCTCGCATTTGAGAGTATGATATTAGATGGCCAGAGCAACGTCACTTCATACCCAGGGCTTGATGTCACCGTATCGTAGAGCTTCGATAACCAGCTTCAGACAGTCGCCGATGTCCTGGTATGAAGTCACACCTGTAAAGAAAAAAAAAAAACGAAATGGTAGCCAAGGTGATGTTATAGATGGATCCCAGTGTTGTTTACATTTATAAATACAATATGTAAATAGTACTTTTTCTCATCCGGACCCAAAGCTGCTCTGCAAAATCTAAATCTCCTCTTTCCAAGAAGGCGTTGAAAATGGAAGGATCCGTCTCCTGCTTCAGCTTTGGGGTCTTGAACAAAAGATGAAAACATAGTAACTGTCTCACTTCTCTTCTTGTATATAACAAACTGAATTCTGTTTCAATTATTATACCTCAACTGTTTTGGCAGCTTGATCCTGTAATGTTTTTCCCATGTTCCTAAGCTCTGTAAGCAGAAACGAAAGCAACATTAACATGACAGCTTTTTCTGTTCTCTTAAAAAATTGTTTTGTTTTTGTTTTTTGGTTAATTTACCTTCGAGATAAACCTTTGTCAGGTTTACAGCCGATGTGCTTTCCACAGGTTCCATCCATTCAGTCTCACCTGTTTTCAAACCATTTGCTAAAGTCTGAAACAGCAGGAAACTGATCAATTTATTATTTGAACTTTTGCTGTCAGGGCAGGTTTATTCGCATAGCACCAATCATACACAGAGAAATGCAGAACACTTTACAGATATATGAAATAAAACGGATGAGGAAAAACAAAACAAAACAAAAAAAACCTAACAGAAATGCATGGAAGATTAAAGACAAAAACGGGGCTAAGACACAACAACAAAGAGTTCAGAAAATTATACCGTACTTAACCTTTATGGGTAATCTGCTCTAAAAAATATGATTTTATTTAGAGAATGTAACAATAAGACTGGAGACCATTTATTTTGACTTTTTTTAATTTAATTTAATTTGGCAACAGACATGTATTTCTAGCTAATGGACCTGATACAATGGACACACTGGCCTCACTGACTGTAAGAGGCTCTGTGGACAGTAAGACATAAAATCATGGTATGTTGTAATACTCATACAAATTTAGTGGCTAAAGAGTAGAACCTTGAAGAAATCCACATTTGACTGTTGTTCTCTCTATTTTAAAACGTTACAGAAGACAGCATGTCTGTTAAATGATACCTAAAGTAATTTTTCGCAGTCGCAGAGAGCCAGTATCAGGATTGAAAATGAAATGAAGTACAAACCTGAAGAAACTCTAGCTCCCTGTACATCTCAAACATGGGACTTCTCATGTCTCCACAGACAACTTTGATATTCTGCAAAGCAAACAAAAACATTAAACAACGTAAAAATCACAAAACATTCCATTTTTAATATCCGACTAGTTTACTGTTTTCAAAAAAATATACAAAATGCTTACAAGAGTAGCTGTAGAGGACAGAGGAGGGATCTCAAGAATACTCTCCACATGACTCCACTTGAAGTCCACTGTCACGCTGCTCTGTGACTCGATTGTGGTGTTTTCCACGACGGTGGACCCAAACAAACTGAACCTGGCGCTACCTTTAATCCCCATCTAGAAATATTGAAAGATTGAGTAAACAACTTAGCGCCCGTGCAGCAAATCAAGAGGAAACATGCCCACTTACAGAGGAGGAATGATGTCTGTTCTTGTGCATTTGTTTCAGTTCTTCCAGGGTTACAAGAGATTTTTTTTCCACCGTTGAACCTAAAGACAAACTGTCCATCAGAGACAAAGACAAAGCCTGTACAGAACACAGAGTGCAGCAACAAAGTATTTGCTCCATTGCACATTTCTCCTTCATTGAACTCAGATCATTAAACAAATAACAGCAGATTCAGATGGCCTACAAATACAAAATACAGTTTTGAAGTGATTTTGTTACTTTACAACAAAAAGCTTTCCAAAACAACCATGCCCATTTTCCCTCAAAAATGTAAAATTCACCTCCCTAGATGTTTTATCAACAGGAATGGCCTGCTTAAGGTCATGCTACCAGCATTTATTTCTAAATATTTTCATTAACATATAGGAGATCATCAATATGTTTTTTTTTTTTTTTAGCAAATATGAGACTTTTCATTCACTTTGGTCTGAACACTGATCTTAACAGAAGCAAGTGAGGCCTGCACTGCTTTAATGTTAGACTTCTTTTGTGATCTTTGGTTTGTGAATGGCTCTTGTAATAATTTTGATAGACTGGCCACATTATGTTATAAAAGATTGTAACATAATGTGCTGCTTTTTGATATGTTGTAGCCTACTTCATGTCATCTGACAGGTTCTATTTAAGAGATACTTGATTCTAAAGCTTTGGTAATAATCAGGTCTGAGTGTGGAAAGTGTGTGCTTGGCAAGGGGGAAATATATTTTCAGAGGTTTTACCTTTGCAGGTAATAGAATACAATTTGATCCCGGCTACTTTATTTGATGCACAGACTATTTCTGCACCAAACCAGGCTGTTCCTGCAGGATCGCTCATGTCGCATCGCACCCAGAGAGGGTGTAAGATGGGGTTATTGTCCACAGCGGACACACCAGGGTTTTGAGATAATGTGTACAAAGACAGCAACTGTCTACAGAAAGAGAAAAGAAAATGATTAGACGCACATCTTTGTTTAGATGAAATGGTAAAAGTTTTACTTGTGTTTACCTTGCTTTCATGACTGTAAGTGGCTGTGGTCCTTGCTCTGTTTGGAGAACATCACAACTATCTTCAGCATCATCACTATCAGCTGTACAGTTCGATGTCTCTGTGTTTAGCTCATCACCATCACATAGCCCAATTATTTTTGGTACCTAGCAAAAAAATGAAAAGATTGTGCAGTGATCAGCAAAAACTGAGGACAAACTCTCAATCATTTATTAATTTCTATTCATGTTGCTCTTGCTGTGTACAAAAATCACTTGATAAATGAAGACTGGTTGACTGATGGAAAACATCCATTTGAAACCACATGTATTTTTCAAATACTTTTATTTATTTTTTTTTTAAATTGTAAAAGTAGACTTACAGCTTTTTCACACACAAAGATTGTTTGGTTGGCAAAGTACAAATTCACCGCAGTAAGTTTGTCTCCGTTCATCTTTGTAATGTGAATGTCCTCCTTAAAGACAAAGATATACATTAAAGTCGACAAAAAATATAAAAATAACAGTTTTTCTTGGTATGGTATAAAAAGGAATTATTTTAAATGAAAGTACCTCATATGTGCATGAATTACTACTTTGGTCATCCTGAAGATATCTTGGACGAGCATAAAACCAAAAGCATAGCACAACGTAAGTTGAACTATACAAATACACGCAGAAAGTGAAGGCTTCTCCTCGCATCGAACGTTTAACAGCTAGATGTAGCTTGGCCTTTCTCGCTAAATGATAAATGAAGGTAAATTAAAATGTTTACATAAGACTCACCGGAGAAGTGTGGAAAACTCTTCTGCTCTAGATACCACCTTTGAGCCCATGACAAAAATGTTAATCAGGGTTACAGGGCAAAATGCGTGACTAGAGCAGCAGAAAACAGGCTGATAGTATCAACATTTACTAGTAGTAGGAATTGTTTGTGTTTGACAACCGCGCGCTCAGTCAAAAAGTGACGACACGAGTTCACAGGTCATCAGCCACGTCGGAGCAATGAAAATAAAAAAAAAATACTAAAAAAAAAAATTGGTCTCTGGACTTTGCACTTCTTTTTCTCACATACACACAGTATATAAATATATATATATATATTTGTTTTATATTATTTTTATTTGAGAAAAATTGAAAAGAGTAAAGTAGTTCGACACTTCCGTTTACGCTGCAAGACACTGCGCCAACATTGTGTAAAGAAATTAGTCCCTACTTCAAGAAAAAAACAATCCTTTCCTTGATGATTGTTTTGTAATTTAACATATCTAGTAATTTTTTTCTATAAATTTTATACTCTCATCGGGTATCCTAAAATATTTAAAACCCAGCAGCAGCCGAAATAGTTTTAGCGGAAGTCTTGTTCTCAGAGGCGGAGGCATATATGATCAGGGTTGAGTTACTAACTTCCTTTTTACTGTGGCCGCCATACCGTGAGGAGTGTGGTTCCCGGCGAGCCGAAAAAAACTGTTGAAAATGGTGAGAAATCACTGATATGTTACAATATATATGGTGCAGAACATGTGTATTTCTGGCATGTTTTAGGTATTTTGCTAACTGTTTGGAAGTTTGTCTGGTAAAGAAGCTAATATTTAGATAAATCTGGTCGCATAACTGAATGCTAGTCACTAGGAAGCTAACACGAGGAGCCATTTTAGACGACTGGTTAGTCCGAGTTACACGTGTTGTCTGTTGCAGCAGCGATTGTTGTATTAAACTGACGTTGAGTGTAATACTGGTGACTATTCCTTGAGTTTGTCTCAATAGTTGCTAACTACATACAATCTTAATAGTCCTTAGTGTATGTTCAAGGTAACTCAGGATTTTACAATGTCACGTGAACAATTTGCTTAAGTATCATCCAGTGTCGGTAAGATAACTTAATTCAGGATAATTTACATTAACTGGCATTTTCTACAGCTATGTCGAAAATGAATGGGTTTATGTGAAGTGGCATAAACCCATTCACTATGACTTATTCACGCTAAAATGTGTGATTGTGTGTGAAAAGCTCAAACCCAGGTTAGCAATCAATAATTAGTCTAAGTAATTAACTCACTTCTAACACTACTATGTCCTGCCAGCAGTTCAAGGTAATTAGTATTCCTCTTTGTATTTTCACCACATCACCAGTGAAGAACATTGTGGCATGAATCAGAATATTAACCTAATTTGAATATTTGTTTAAAAAGCTAAATTAAATTCTGTAATAGAATTGTATTTATTTTTTTGATGGAAGCTCAGTTTTCATCAGTGTATTTGAAAATTAGACGTTTGTATACGTTGTTGAAGGAAGGTGGAGTGCCAGTCAGAAAACACTTGTGCAGTTTAATGTGTGATCATCTGATGTGCATTTCACAGAAAATTTTGTTTTTACATTCTCAGGCCTGTGCCCGACCCCTCATCTCGGTGTTTTCCGACAAAGGAGAATCGTCAGGCAAAAATGTAGTCATGCCTGCTGTCTTCAGGGCCCCCATTCGCCCTGATGTTGTGAATTTTGTGCACACCAACATGCGCAAAAACAACCGCCAGCCATATGCAGTCAGCGAGCTGGCAGGTGAGTCATTGTACATTTGATGTTATACACTTGATGATGATTCTAGAAAACTCAAATTTAAGCAGCAACTTTTATCAGTAATTTGCTGTGACCATTTTCCATTGGTTTGATTTGGACTTTGGGAAACATGACAACATTCTCCTGCTGGTGTATTGTATTTGGTTATACCAAACTGAGTAGAACATAAAAACTACTTTGAAATTGCAGGTTGAGTTCAAATTCAGTCAAAATATCAAAACAACAATTTTTTTTTGTAAAATGATACAGTTGTGAATCTGAGCTAATCTAGCTTTGACCATAAAGTGGCTGCTGCTACCATAATTTGTAACTGTGCTTATATTGAATCTTTCAGGCCACCAGACAAGTGCTGAGTCCTGGGGAACAGGAAGAGCTGTGGCCCGTATCCCTCGTGTGAGAGGTGGTGGTACTCACCGCTCTGGCCAGGGAGCTTTTGGAAACGTATCCTTGTTTTGAGTCCATTTGTTGTTTTCATGCCTTTAACAGCTAAATCCGGCCTTGCTGTGATGGTGTAATTTGCGTCTGACTCTGTGGTCAGTGACGGTATGCCTGCTGTCATATGCTGGCACAGACGACTGGTGAACATTGAGTCTGAGCAGGTATTAGAAGGGTTAATATTTACTTTAGTGGTGGACGATTCTTGACTTGGACCTAGATGTGTCGTGGTGGTCGCATGTTTGCCCCCACTAAAACTTGGCGCCGTTGGCACCGCAGGATCAACACCCCCCAGAAGCGTTACGCCATCTGCTCTGCCCTGGCTGCTTCTGCCATTCCTGCACTTGTGATGTCCAAGGGTAAGTTTCCCAAAAATAAAAATGTCCAGAAGAGTAACAGCTTTATTTATTTTTTTTTTTAGCTAGGTCAGATTGTCTTTGCTGAACAGTTACCTTGCTATGATGGTGTAATTTGCGTCTGATCTTGTGAATGGTGACAGTTGCCTGCTGTCATTAAGCCATCACAGGTTATTGATGAGTGATAAACTCTGAGCAAGTTCAGGTGTTAAGTCACTGCAGCAGTTGTTACTTGCATGTCCTTCAATTACATAAAACTTTTGATGGTCAGGACACCGCATTGAGGAAATCCCCGAAGTCCCGCTGGTGGTCGAAGACAAAGTTGAGGGCTACAAGAAGACCAAGGAGGCCGTGCTACTGCTGAAGAAGCTTAAAGCCTGGAACGATATCAAGAAGGTAAACTAAATCTGAAATTAGAGAAATGCATTTTCCTGTCAGTTGGAGGTCTTAGATCTTAAATGTGTCGGTGTCTTTAGAATGTGAAAATATAGTGATTGAGTTATTAGAGAGCTGAGTTAATGCTACAAATGTTTGTCCTTGATTAATTGTTCTGTAGAAGTAAGTACACAAATTTCTCAAAATAATAGAACTAATATACATTAGAGAAGGTGTTAATATTTCATGTGACATTGAGCCAAAAGTGAATATTACATGCAGTATTAAAATTTTTTAAAATTGATATTTTATACTTGTTTATCTCCAATTTTTTTTTTTTTACATGTTTTTAGCATGTGTATTTGTCTTAATTAACATAAATGTTGTTCGTAGGTCTATGCCTCTCAGCGCATGCGTGCTGGTAAGGGCAAGATGAGGAACCGCAGGCGTATCCAGCGCAAAGGTCCGTGTATCGTCTACAACCAAGACGCTGGTTTAACCAAAGCCTTCAGGAATATTCCAGGTGAGTTTTACTGCATTTACCACAGAGACTGTTTTCAGATTCACTCGTTTCAGGTGTTTAAATAAAAGTAGTTGGCAATGATTATTAAATATTTTTTGTGCACCTCTGTGTTATGACTATAAATTCATTTGGAATATTATTCCTAATCCTGTGAACCATCCATTTTTGAAAATAAATGTACTTATTCCCCCTTTTTTCTAGGCATCACTCTGCAGAACGTGAACCAGCTGAACCTTCTGAGGCTCGCTCCTGGTGGTCACGTCGGACGGTTCTGCATCTGGACCGAAAGCGCTTTCCGCAAGCTGGATGAGCTGTACGGCACCTGGCGTAAAACAGCCTCTCTCAAGAAGGACTACAAGTGAGTGTTAAAAAAAAAAAAACATCACATCTTACAGGTGCATGTCCGTAATAGAGAATTATTTGAAAAGTTTTTCAGTGATTTCATTCAAAAAGTTAAACTCTTTTACACAGTGAGAGTGAAATAGTTTACTTCAGTTAATTTTAATGACTTTTGCTTAAAGCTAAAGAAAACCCTGAATTCAGTTTGTAAAGTTTAATATTTACAAGACTAAAGACTTCTTCATAAGAAATTATGGCCGACACAGTGATGTCGACCGCTGCTGACCTGACTCCTGTCCAGCAAATGGTCTTTTCCTTTCCTTAAGCAACAAATGTACAATGAGTTTATCAGTAGAGTGACATTTCTGAATTAAACCTTTATTGGTTTAATGTAAAGATTGATTTTCTGAAAAAATGCAATTTGGGTTTTCATTAGCAGTAACCTGGGATAATGAAAAAAGGCCAACTGACCAATATATTTTACATAACTCACTTTTTGAATTTAATTCCTGAAATGAACTTTTCCATATTCTAATTTAGTGGTGTGCACCTGTACAGCAGTATATGTTTTCCACATGTATCTCAGTGATGAGCTTCCACTTCATGGTCCGTGTTTTTGAACTCTGTGATATTTGCTGAAGTTCTGAGTTGGTTCAAAATGAAACTTATCCTTCAGATGTGGTGTTTTTTGTTGGTTTTAATTATTGGTGCTTCTTGCTTTCAGGCTCCCAATGCACAAGATGACAAACACAGATCTGAGCAGGATTTTGAAGAGTGAGGAGATCCAGAAAGCACTTCGTGCTCCTAAGTATGTACTTTGTAGTGTTTTTTTTTTTGTTTGTAACCTTGTCTTGGCTATGATGATCTCCCACTTCTGGTCCGTGTTTCTGACCCCTGATTATTTTGGAAGTCCTGAGCATATCAAAAAAAGTTATAAATCCTCTGTTGCATTTATAAGTCAAATTAACCTTTTACTTCTCCCATTGCAGCAAGAAGATCAAACGCAGAGTGCTGAAGAAGAATCCTCTGAAGAATTTGAAGATAATGCTCAAACTGAACCCTTACGCCAAGACAGCAAGACGTCATGCCATCCTGAAGCACGACCCTGCCGTAAGTACCTAGTGGTTTAAAATCTTCTGGAGATGGGAGGAATATTATGAACCAACCGAGGTTGACTGATTATCTTGTCTTCACAGATCAAGGCTAAGATGCTGAAGCCCAAGAAGAGGCCTGCAAAGAAGGCCCCTGCTAAACCCAAGGCATAAATCTAAACAGACTGGAGTTCAGTAAAATAAATCGGTTTCAAATACGAGTCAGAAGTTTTATTTAAACTATTTAATTCACAAGACAAATATCACAAAAGCCAACAAAGCCTTGTGGAGTGGATGAAGAGCAAGAGATGCACAATAAATCAGGACATCAGCATTAAGAGTTTTAAAAATACACAAGTTGGCCAAGATGATTTCATGACATTTTCTGGGAAATGATTGTCCATGCATACAGAAGTAGGACGTGACCCTTTAACCCCTGGTGTGACTGACCTTAGACCTTGAAACATTGTTTCCAATAAAAAGGCTTAATCATACCAATTCTGCACATTTCTCTGGCAGAAAGGCTGCATTATATATGATTGAAGAGGAATGTTGAGTGCAGAGGTTTAGCAGCAGTATTTTTACATATCTGTATTGTTACAAAAAGATGGCTTTTCAATAAGGTCTCCTACGGTGACCTAAACAGCTGTCTAGTACACCATTTAATTCTGTATGCAAGTTTGTACAGTTGATGATACAGGTGCATCTCAAAATGTTATGAATGCTTATTTCAACATTTACAGTGAAACTCGATTCATTATACATGATACATTTAAAGTTTGTAGAAAATAAAGCATATTGGACTATAAAGGGATTGAATTTCTGAAGTTACCGGCTATTCAAAGTGCCAGTTTCAAGCAAATTCATAAAAAGTAAAATGAAAAGAAGGGAAGGGCATGTGGGAAATTCACAAGGTGTGGGCCGCAGCTGGAGCCACAAGCCTCCACACAGATGGAATAAAAAGGAAAAGGACTGGACTCAAAAGTCATATCTTTAGAGGGAAGTAAAGTTTGCATCTCATTTGGAAATTAGTCAGGAGGAGCAGCTTCAATTCCCTAATACAATTATAATGTATTTTTACTTGCCTTGGAAAACCTAGAAGAGGAACCCTCTTTAGAGCCTCATGCAGATCACCTCCATCCCATGCCACATAAATGGAGCTTTTCTGTACGAAAAGCTCTTCAAGTGTTAAGAGTGCATACTGAATGGTGCATAGACATGCTCTTGTCTTGCATTCAGTTTTTTGATTAACATAATTTGGGGTTTTTATCAGCTGTAATCCATAAACGTCAGAATTAAGTATTTAAACATGTTCCTCTGTGTAATGAGTGAGTTTCACTTTATGACTTAAATAATGGAGATTAACTTTTCATAATCTCTGAATTTATTGAGATGCACCTGTAAGATCAACACATTGCTTGCTTTGGAGAAACACTTAGCAATAACAGAAATCAACCAAAACGTCTTTTTGATTGCTCTGGTTATGGCTTTGCAGTCGACGGTCTCACATGCTGGTGCCATGGGTGGGTGTCGCAGGCTGACTGAGTCCGATGGTGCTGCAGAGCCAGCCGGCAAAGTCCACCTCTTCTGCCTCGGATTGTTTGATAAAAGGGTGCACCTGAAAATGGAGCGTGTAAAAATAATGGAAATGAGCTTTGTCATAATTTCTGAATTCATATGAGATGCATAAGTTGGAGTCGTAATTACCATCAGCTGCTTCAAGTCTGCTCTCTCTGCAGGATTCTTAATCAGGCTGCAACAAAAGGGAAAGAAAATCATGCTTTCCAGCAGAGCTTTTTCTGAGATGTGTCAAGTGTGTTGCTTTTCATAGCAGAAAGTGTAAAGAAAATTCTTTCTTACATACCATTTATTCACAAACTCCTGGAATTCGGCACTAAATATCGCAGGGAGCTTTGGTGGGGGCTAAAGATGGAAGTAAAACAAATGAAGTTAGCACGATGGATATGATATAACACTAAATACGGCAGACAAACTCACCTCGTTGACTATGTAATCGAGTAGTTCAAATATAGCCATTGGTGGTCTGCTGTTTGGTCCGTACGCTAAGCAGGAAAATAAATGAATGGATCAAGACTAGAGTTAACAGTGAAGGACATTCAAAGACCCTTTAGGAGCTGCTGCGCTGTGTCACACTTACAGCTGCCCGTACGTCCAGGGGGGCACGGTTTCGGGGACTCGCTGGAGGCTGCCTCCCCTTCCACTGGAAACCCAAAGATCTGCTCCAGTTCCTTGGAATCAGGTGGAGGGATGGGGAAGCGTCCGATGGCCATTTCCACCAAAGACAGACCCATACTCCAGATGTCTGACTGAACAGAGTAATGCGTTCCCTGCAGACGCTCTGGCTGCACAAAGCGCATCAGATTTAATCAGTTATTACGGAGATTAGAGACTACACATTAACTTGTATTGTGAAGATATGTGCTTTAAGGAATATGTTCTGGTGGAGAAATATACATATATATGTTATTTGTGTGCTGAGCTCACCGACATGTAAGAGCGAGTTCCCACAAAGGAGTTGGCCATGGAGTCTATGAGCTGTCCGCTCACTCCAAAGTCACACAGCTTGATCTCACCGCGGGAATTCACCAGGATGTTAGAAGGCTTGACATCTGAGAGATCCATCCACAGTACATAGTTATCAATGGCAAAGAACACGCAGCCCAGAATAAACTCATGCAGGATGATTTTTAATTGATAACTAAGGTAAAAATCTACGTGGAATGCTGTTTTGTTTTGTAATTTGAGATTCCTCAGTGTTTAACTTTACTCAGTCCCCTGTGATCGCGCCATAGCAATCATGCCGTTTACAAGATCAAAGATAATTATATCATTACTGCATGTTAAAAGAGCCCTAATTAAAAATACAAATAATACAAGAAAAAACCCTCAGGATTAGACAAGCCATATCTAAACCATGGCATGGTTTCCCTCAAACTTCAAGTGAGATCATGCACTATTATTTTATGCATTCTGAGTAAAGAATATTTTTTATTACCAGGATTTCTACAGAGTCTAAAAGTAAGGAATCTGATCCAATCATTTTCCAGATAGGGAAAAAGAAAACAGCAAATGGAAAACTAGTTTTTTCCAAATTTTCTGAACTCTCTCACTGTGTCTACAAATCTATCCATCCATTTGTCCTCACCTCCTCTTTGTTTGTTTCCATCCATCCATAAATTATGAACCGTTGTATTTACTTTATAACTTAACTTCAGAAATTTGAATTTGACGTCTTGGAACCCCGTATTCCATAAAACAGTGACTATTTTTCGCTTTTCAAGTTCAGCGCCTTTTGATCATTGAATTAACACACTAACACGTTTCTCACTTGTTTTCCAAAATGAGAATGTGAGATGTTTTTTTTTTGTTTTTTTTTCTTCTTCTAGTTTTTCCTAAGCATTTGGCCCAATTTATTCAAAGATTTTTCTGGCATAAAATTCAAAAGAGACCTTAGGTTTTGAAACGGAATAAAAAAAAATCTCTCTTTTCCAACAAACATTGCCTTTGTAAAACTTTGTTCAGGAATTAAAACAAACCTCTATGCATGATCTTGTGCTTCTCGCGCAGGTAGGAAAGACCTTTGATGACCTGTAAGATACATTTTGGACTGTCAGCGCACTAACAAATTACTTAGTGTTGCAACATAAATCTTCTTTTTGGTGCAGAGGGAAACAGTTTTTCATAGACTTAATATGGATAAAATTGGTGGGAGAGGTGTTGGTACTACCCACAGCAATGCTGACTTTGCCAAGAATCTCCTCTGGGATTTTGCCTGCTTTTTTCAGTGACTGGTCTAGAGAGCCACCATCCTGAAGCCACAAAGAAAGAGAAAAAAATGGAGACCGTTCATTTGAGACAGAGAGATCAGCAGTTACAGATTACTAGCATTTCAACTGGGATAAAAGTTGAGATAAACGTGCAAGAGCGGTCTGCGGGAAAAAAAAAAAAAAAAGTACCATGTGCTCCATGCAGATGCTGATTTCTCCATCGCTGTAAAACGCACCATAGAAGCCCACTATGTACGGAGAGTTACACTCATGTAGCACCTGCAGCTCCCGGATAATCTGGTTCCTGATGGCTGGCTTAATCTCCAGGTGGATCAGCTGGAACAGAGGGCACAATTTTAGTTAGATGTAAAAAAAAAAAAAAAGAAAAAGCATTACAAAACTTCATTTTGGATTTTTGGATGCTATATTTGTCTCAACTCCTGTCTTTACCTCACAAAGCCTTGTATTTTTTTTATTTTTTTCCTGATACTTGATGTGCAAAAAGTAGCTTCTAGTACAGTGGCTAGCAAAAGTCCAAATAACTCTTGAGTTTCTCTCAAATTTTGTAAAATTACAACCTCAAATCTACGTGTATATTATGGGGATTTTATTTAGTAGACCAAAGTAGAGCATGATAGTTAAGTGAATGACTATTCCTGGTTTTTACCTATTCCTAGGTAAACACTTGAAATATGCGTTGGGCATTCATTGTAGCTCCCTTTTCTCCGACAACCCAAATAAAATCCAGTACAACTTCATTGGTAAATATCCACACTCGGGTAAATGCAGGTGTTCTGTGAATGTCTCAGAATTTTGTTAGGGAACATTAGTGAACAAACTTCGTCATTAAGCCAAAAACCACATCAAATGGGTCAGGCTTTGGTTCTAAAACCACGTCAAAAAGCTTGAAAGGCAGGACAAGGAGAGCATCAATCAGAGAAGCGGCCAAGAAGGCCATTATAATTCTGGAGGAGCTGAAGGTCCACTACTCAGTTGTGAAAAACTGCTGATGGAACAAATATTAATAAGATGTCTAATAAGAAGTGTTCATGCAACAGTGGCAAAAATAAACATGCAGCCAAAACTGCTACGGAACGTGATCGATCAAAGTAT